TCTTTGTGATTGGCATTGTTATTCTAGACTTACAGCGAAAACACTGAAGACTTGAGAAATGAAATGATTCACCCAAGGTCACATTATCTGTGAATGTATGAATCAAGACTGAATCCAGGGCTGACTCCAAAGCCCTTGTGCTTAATCACCATGCGATATCATGTACCTGCTTCCCCAAAGGATTTCAGCTACTTGAGAACTGGGACTAGGTCTTTTTCTTCCAAAAATACTCATGCCTAGCACATTGCTTGGTACATAGTTGGAACTCAGTAAATTTTGTTGAACAAATGAATGAATAAATAAATGCATGAATAAAGTGCAGTCAGAGGTAAATAAAGAGCCAAACTGCTTTCATTTACTTGAAGCCCGATTAAGGACAGGGTCTCATTGTTAGTTCAAGATGCTGGGCTGCCAGTTTAGCTGAGCCATCCAACCTTGTTAATTTTAGTTATTTTCTCTGGTAACATTTCACACTCATTGGTTCCCATGATTATTATTGTACTGCATGTTGCTACATCGTACCTGATCTGTGACATGAGGAATGATTTTAAATATACACTCTGGGGCAGAGGTGGCACTTTGTAATTCTAGATGGAATTGCCCTAGTAAACTCTCTATGAAAGCTTATTGTAGGGGGCAAGACACACAGTATACCAAAGAACTAAATACAAATTGTATTCAGGAATAATATTCTCTGATTTTAAAAATGGGGCCAAAACCATTAGCAATACTTTTATGTTAGATAGTTAAGAGGTTGTTAGCACCAAGCTTATTTCCCTTTACAAGTGAATCAAGCAATGAATAACAATAATCATACCTTACTTTTTATTATACAGCATTTTTGAGGGTATAAGTCTTTATAACTCTTTATAGAAATCTATGTATTCAGTGTTGCAGGAACTGCTCGTAGATGCCACCTTGTATCCATCTTTCTTTCTTCCCTAATAATAGAATGCTGATTTTGGAGGAGCAGCTAGCAATGTGCTTCCTTTATAGTTAACTGTGGTCATGTAACTAAATGCCAGCCAATGAGATGCAAGTCTAAGGTGTTGAGTAAAATTTGTGGCAAAAACTTCTTAAGTTGGGGAAATAAAATTTAACAACCATTTATAATTTTTTTTTTAAAAAAACGTACCAAGCAAGGAATAGAAGATAATTTCCTTGATCTGATGAAAGAAAATGAAAAAACACTAGCTAACAACATACCTAATGGTAAAACACTGATCCTTTCTCCCTAAGATCATAAACATGACTAGATTGTCCTCTCCTACTATATCTATTTAAAAGGGTACTGGAGACCCAAGTTGGTGCATTAAGGTAAGAAATAAGAAAGAAGAAACATAGATATTGGAGGAAAAAGAAGTTGTTATTCATAGATGACATGATTATATACACAGAAAATTCTAAGGAATCTATAAAAATCACACTAGAACTAATGAGAAAATTCATGAAGTTTGCAGGATACAAAGTGAATATGCAAAATCAATTGCATTTCTACATGTTATCCACAAAGAATTTGAAAATAAAAAATTTTAAATGTCCCTAGAAATAAATAAAACAAAACATGTGCAAGATATCTACCCTGAAAATGACAAAACACTGCTCTGAGAAATTAAACAAGGTCTGAATAAATGAAGATATATGTCATATAAAATGATTGGAAAATTCGATGTGTGTAAGCTGTTCAATATGCCCACAATTGATCTATGGTTTCAATGTTGTCTCAATAAAAATCTCAGCATATTTTTTAAAGAAATTGACAAGATGATTCTAAAATTTATACGGAAATGCAAAGGATCTAGGATAAACAAAATGAAAATACAAAGTTGGAGGACTTATGGTCCTGATTTCAAGACTTTCTATAAAGCTACAATAAGGGAGGTAGTGAGGCATTAATGGTTACATGGGTATATGCAATGGATCAGTGAAACAGAATAGTGTCCAGAATTAGCCTCACACATACATGGTCAACTGCTTGTCCACAAAGACATTAAGATAACTCAATGTGGAAAAGAAAATCTTGTGTAACAAATACTGCTTGAACAACTAGATATCTCTATGGAAACAAAAGATGAACCTAGACCTTTTTTCTCATTCCAAATACAAAAGCTAATTCGAGATCAGAAGCCTAAAGGTAAGCACGTTAACCGTAAAGTTTCTAGAAGAAAATACAGCAGAAGTCTTTGTGACCTTTACGGTAAGCAAAAATTTCTTAAGACATAAAATACAGTAACCATAAAATTAAAAATTAATAAGCTGAACTTCATCAAAATTACAAACTTTTGCTTGACCAAAGGTATTGCCAGAAAAATTAAAATACAAGCCATACACTGGGAGATAATATTTTTGATAAAAATATACATTTTTTTGCAAAATATATTTGACAGAAACTTGTATCCAGCACATAAAAAGCACTCTTACCACACAATATTGGAAAGACAGTCTAATCTTAAACAAATGGGCAAAAGATTTGAAAAGAAACTTCACGAAATAAGAAACAAAAATGGCAAATAAACACAAGAAAAGATGTTCAACATCATCATTAAGGAGATGCAAATCAAAGCTACAATGAGATGCTACCCCACACCTATTAGAATGGCTAAAATTTAAAAAACTGACAACACCAAGTGTCAGTAAGGATGTGGAATATCTGGAACCCTGTCACACTACTGAAGGAAATGCAAAATGGTACGTTCACTTTGGAAAACAATTTGGTAGTTTCTTTAAAAATTATAAGTATCATATAGTTCAGCAACTCCAGTTTAGGTGTCTATTATAGAGAAATAAAAGCATACATCTATACAAAGACTTCTACACAAGTGTTCATAGCAGCCTTTTCATAATAATCCCCCCAAATAGAAACAACCCAAATGTCCACCAATGAAAGAATGAGTAAACAAAATGTAGTAAATATATACAATGGATTATTAATTAAAACAAAAAGAAGCAAACTCCTGATACATACAAAATCATAGGTAAATCTTGAAAACATTATGTTGAACCAAAGAAGCCAAAAACATAGGGCATATGCTACATTATATATTCGTACAAAATTCAGGAATAGGCAAAACCAATATAAATTATAGAAATAGAAAGTGGTTGCCTCTGAAGTGGTAGAACTAACTGTAATGTGAAATTTCTGAGGTGATGGACATATTCTACATCATGTTTTGGATATTGATTGCAATGGTATATTTAACCATCAAAACACATCAAACTGAACATTTTTGATCTGTGCATTTTAGGCACGTCAACTATACATGAAAAGGAGTTGTGAGGGAGTGGGCAGACAGTGCCCTTATTGCCACTATTTTCCTCCTTTCCTTCTGACTGAAATGAAGAAGTAATGATCAGTGCCCTGGCAGCATTCTTGGACCATGAAGATAAAATCCAAGTGTCAATAATGGTGAAGCAGAGAGCAGAAAAAGTCCTAGATTCCTCATGTTTACGGATCTGCCATATCACCACTGAATGGCCTTTCTCTGTATTTCATGCAAAAGAGAAAAGAAAATATTGGCCAGGCGTGGTGGCTCACGCATGTAATCCCAGCACTTTGGGATGCCAAGCGGGGCAGATCGCTTGAGGTCAAGAGTTTGAGATCAGCCTTGCCAACATAGCGAAACCCAGTCACTACTAAAAATACAAAAATTAGCCAGGCATGGTGGCGGGCACTTGTAATCTCAGCTACTCAGGAGGCTGACACAGGAGAATCGCTTGAACCCAGGAGGCAGAGGTTTCAGTGAGCCAAGATCATGCCTCTGCACTCCAGCCTGGGTGACAGAGTGAAACTCCATTTCAAAACAAAACAAAATACAAAAAACAAAAATACTCTTTTTTTATGCCACTGTCTCAGATACTTGCAACTAAACACAATTTCTAAGTGTTACAATCACTGATAAATTTCTTTTATGGTTAAATTATTTTTGATTATGTTAGATTGTAGTTGGGAACTATACTGAGATGTTTTTTAAATGGTATAATAAAAGCTGTTTTTCTTTTATAGAGATTGATGCCTTTGGTGTATAAAAGTATTATAAGTTAATAAACATTTGGAAAATTATTTCATATAAACTAGATATATAGCAGTAATGGGCTTGCTTTTGGGACAAATCAAATCTCGGTACAGATCATGGATTAGTCATGTGGTCTTGGGCAAATAGCTAATCTCTCGGAGCCTCACTTCCTCTGAGTGTAGGGCTGATGTTATTAAGCTAGCTTTAACCTGCTGTTTAACCTGCTGTTATTATGAAGACTGAATGAGGTCATGTATGTAAAACCTTCAGCATAAGGTCTGGGACAGAGCATATGGTAGCTCTTTTTCAATAGGAGACTATTTGATTCTGAACATGTCATTCACTGCACAGATAAGCCATCACAAAGCAATTTGTCCTCCACCATCACCTGCATAATATGTGGTTTTTAATAGCTTATTATAGCATATTAGAATGGAGTCATTGCCTATGGAGTCATTTACTACTGAATTTAATAGCAGTGAAGGCTGCATGCCTTCTCCAAGCAATAAGAGAAACCAATATTTCCCAGAGTATGTCAGAAAAAGTTGCAAAAATTATTATTTTGCCAGAAGTCATTGTCATGGAGAAAGACTCTCGGAAAGTGAAGGTTATTTTCAAATAACCTCAGAAAGTGGTGGCCATTGAGGCTAGAAAGTGTCTGAGATACTGGGACTGGGCACCATCCAATGGAGCCTATGGTGAAAGCCTTGGTTCCCTTGCATGCATAACACACATTCTGGTTTGCCACATCCTGCCCTACACTGGGAGGCAAATGCAGAGGCCACAAGGACCCACGGCTAGAACCATGTAGTTCAGATGACCTCACCTCACTCCAAGCAACCTAGGCCTCTGAGAGAACTGCTGAGATCCAACCAGACGAGGCAGAAATGCCAGGGAGTTAGCAAGCTCCTGGCAAGTGCAGCTCAGAGCAGGAGTATCTCCATAGAAAATCAGCGCACATAGATGCCAAGAGAATCATTTACTTACCTGCAAGGGTTGGCAATTTCTTCTGGTGTTGTTTTCACAAAAGGGGATACAGGTTTTTCCACAAAAGATCCGAAGCCCAGTCTAAAGTTGCTGGTTAATTTAGACATCTCTTTGGAAAGCCGGGAGCCCAACTCCTTGATTGTGTTGAGGTCATCATCCATGGAGGCGGAGAGGTCCATGAGGTAATACAAATCCACCGGGTAGTCCTCAGTCTGGCGGACATGCACCTGCAGAGTCTGTGCACCACCTGCAAAGCCCAATAGGAAAAGCAAACCCAGGAAAACACACTGAGATTTATTTGCAACTGGCCACTTGCTGGGTCAACTGGCTATTTCACCTCAATAAGAACTTACTGAAATACATAGGATTTCGTTAACTGTGTGGTTAAGATCCTAAATGAACCAACCCATGAAATTCTTTCAGCAGTGAGTTTAGAACTATTGGAGAATAAGTTAGGATATTTTATATCTCCTTGGGAGAACTAGCATCCATTTAGATAGAAGATAAGCTGAATTTTTTGTGTGTCATTTTAGAAAAGGGGAACCAAATAAAAGAGAGTTTAAATCTACATTACAATCCTTGAAGAAATGTGAGGTAAGCGTTAACAACATTTGAGTAATTTAAATGGTTACTATTAGAGATGGCTTCTTCAGTAACACAATTGGAGTGCCAGGGACCGATGTGAATAAAGAAATATGTGAGCCTAGCAATTTTCGATTTCCTTAAGAATGGGAAATTCGAGTCATAATAATCAATGATATGTAATATGATACAAGACACATTAGTGGGGTAGCAGAATTACCATATATAACATTAGATCTATTTACATGAGCCAAATCCTAACATACCTGGTCTCAACTTAAGGATCAAGCTTTGAGGTGCAATCTGAACAATGTCAGAACTATTTTTCTGTCTGCCTACACTGAGAGGCTTATTTTTAAGTATTTCTACTTGGGAGACAGGGTTTTCGATGAAGTTTAATTGACATCCTTTAGCTAAAAGATTTGCTGGGGTATCACACCTTTCACCAACTCCAGATGGACGGGTAAAATTCTAAAAAAGAAAAAGAAAAAGAATAACCAGAAAAAGAAAACAAATCTGAATTTCTTTATAAGATACCAGCAATTGAAAGTTTTTCTGCACACTTTGCTAGTTAAGCCTCTTATCATATTGTATCCCTACATGACTAACATTGATTATAGGTCTAAAGTTAAGTTATAGGTGAATAACCAGAGAATTCTGCCAGTAAAATTCTGAGTAAAACTGGAGTCTCCTTTCAATTATATTCACTTGAATTCATGTAACAATTTTGGGGGTGGTGGGTAGGAGGGAGTGTGGGGGAGGTCTTAAGGTCACTTCTTTAAAGCTTCTTCCCAGGCCATGACCAGATCCTTGAAACAGTTGGGTTCATAAAGTTGACATCATTCCATGAATTTATCTGCTCAGGCTGACCTGTAGGTTTGATTCCACAATCAAATCTTTATCACTAGATTTGGGAATTGACACACCGTCCAAGTGCTCCAGTGTCAATCCCTAAATCTAGTGATAAAGAGAGATCCTGAGGATTCCTAAAGGGTAGGGATTGCAACATCTCCCCCATCTAGCACTCTCTGCCAGTTGTATGCACTGGTCTGTTACCCTTATAGTGCAGCATGACTTCACCAAAATTGATCTCTTGTGGACTTTAAACCCAGAGTCTTGAAGCGTTCTAGTTCAAGATCCTTTAGAACTTTCTCTAAGATTTGAAAGTGAGGAAGAAAAGTGAAAAAGATGGGTTAAAAGTCTGCTTTTCTCTGTGGGACACAGGAGTTTCCCACAAGGATAGCAGAGGTACAGTGAGATGAAGTCTTTCCCAGCAGAGATGTGGTCATTCAAATTCTGGAACACCCAAAACAGGGAGATGGAGCTAACAGATTAAATACCTAACTTACCTGACAGGCACGACTGCTTTAGAGCGGGCATGACACTACGCAAAGGGGAACTTGTTGCCCATTGACTCTCATGCTTAGAGAAAACCAAACCAATGCTCACACTATTTTCCTTGCCTCTTAGAACTCCAAGCCACTCTTGCTGTTTTCATCAGCTAGGAAAGTTAGATTTCTTCTGAAATTGATTTTGAGAATACAATTTGTTATCAATCAGTAGGCCTGTGCATGTCTGAAGCTCTAGGCCAGGCATGGCAAACTGTAACTTCCCATGATGTCACTAAGGGAAACAGTGGCTGGCCAAGGCTTCAGAATCCTTCTCAACACAGTGTCATTGCTATCCCTCTAGTCATAGCCTTTGCCACAAGATCAGAGGTGGTGTTAACCACATGACCTATTTTCTATCTGCCCTAAGCAGAAGCCTAATTTACTTTTTGCTCCAACTGCCTCAACTGGCATCCTCATAACTACTTCTAATATTAGAGTGGCCTCTTAGAATAATTTGGCTTTACAATTTGACAACAATTTGGCTACCAAGTATTATCCACAAGTAAAGTTATCAGCAGCAACTTAGGAAACTCTCTTAACTAAATGCTGAAAAATGCATTTAAATGAAAATTCTAGGCTGATTTGTTATTTTATCTCTCTGGCATGAAACTAATACTTCTTCAGGAAGTCAATACCCAAAAACATGTGAATTTTTCCCTCCTTGTATCTTCTCAATCCTGCTTTGATACAGGAACTCAAAAAAAGGCATAATTCTCTTGGACTTTTGTTTGTGGTCGCGTCGGTCAAGGCTGTGGTAGGGGACTGAGCTACGTTTGTGCTCTCCTGTCTTCATGGATACACACTGAACTCAGAGTTTGGGTTTCCACAGGTAGAACCCAGTTCTGAGTTTGGTGTTGAGGTGTTGAGGTTTGTTTCTCTTTCAGCTGAGCATGCTCAGCTCTCGCTGAACTTGGTATTTGTATGATTTGATTTGTGTTTAGATTATCTTTATGAGATCCAGTGGGTACAGACTTGTTTTAAAATTCAGAAAGCTAATGCCTGTCTTTCTCACCATGAATCAGTCAGACATCACTCTCTAGTGTCTTAGGATGGCTTGGTAGATATTCCCCGATCATCTTCACACTGATTTCACATAGTTTTCAGTTTGACCAGATAAGGAGTGCCTATTTGGAACTTTGTCACTGGCGTGGTACAGAGTCACTGAGTTTATGAAAATGCCATTTTTAAAAGAACTGGATAATGCCTGACCAGTAATATTTGCCCCAAACTTAAAACACATCCCTTAGAACCTAGCAGTAGTTCAGAATGGATCCTAGTACCCAGATGGACTACAACTATGATATGAACATCAAATGTATGTTTAACTTTAGAAAATCCATCTCCATGATCTCTGATTATCCAGACAGCCTCCATATTTTATATGCAACCTGTTAGAAATGGCTTTACAATAAGAGAAGGAGTGAGGTAAAATTAAAAATCCCAAGTTACATATTTTTCCAAATAATTTGACATCCACTCCTTCTACAAATTGTTTTTGAAAGTAATCACATGAATGCCATTTTGATCTACCAATGCTCACCTTCTCCTTTCCTGATTTGTTTTACTCATACAATTCCACAAAAAAACAATTCACTATCAGAACTATCACTGAGGAAATTAACATGAGTGTAACTGCAGACAGGTTTTAAAAACATGTTGAGGTCGTTTATTTTACCTCCTGAGCACACCAGGCACACTGAGGTCCAATGAGCAGGCAGTCTTCACAGGTTTCTGCACCTCCCAGGGCACAGCCACCTAGGTTTAGACCCAGCAAGACGCAGGAATTAAGTATATTTTCAGTCATTCCATTTATGAGACTGATGGCTCTTACATTACTTGAACAAAACAACATCAAAGTTTAGTTTAGTATCCAAGATCAGTCCTCGAAATGTTAGCAATTCACATAAAAGTTTGTATTTTACATCTATCACATGTAAAATATGTGTATGTGTATTAAAAAGTATGTATGTCTTATAAGCCAAAATTATCATCCTCTTTTTTCTTAAAATGTGAAAGTTCACAAATATAGGATTATCCTATTTATTGTTCCACCTTAATTTTTAAAAATTACTTGCACCCATTAAAAAATGCTTCTTTCTTAAACGAGGTATTTCTGTTTTTGAAATAAATCCTTTCTCTCTTTCAAGATTATTACTCTTAAGTGGAAGATCTTGTGGTAGAATAAAATAGAAAAGTTTCAAAAATGGTTATCACAGTGGCACTAAGTTCCATTGGGCAGCAATGTTATTTAATTCTCCTCATTAAAATGCCTGTGCAACCTTTGTATTTATTTACCTTAAGCCTAGAGCATTCATTGTGGGAACTGCCCGGTGTTTGTCTGTAATTTGTTAAAGCGTTCACTCAGTGACAAAAGAGCAATGGAACAGATCAAATAAAACATGACTTCAGATCTAGTTTCTGAACCAAATGACAGGTTTGTCAAGCATACCACGAAAGCAATATATCGGAGAACGTAGGTCTTACCTTGTACGTGATCATTCCTTCCTAGAAATAGAAAGAACAGGCAAAGCAGTTCAATCCCCATTCGCTTCAGTTCTTGCTGTGCAGACCGATTAAAAAATGAATTACCTTCAGCGTTACAAGACCAAAGCTGAATATCGTTAAAGTCTTTCTTTCTTGAAGTGAAACATTTTAAATACTACTTACACTGCTTTGAAAAGAAACTTGAGATGTAAGTTAGAAAGTTTTCATTAAGACTGAAATGAAAACAGAGGCTACCTGGACAGGTAAAGCAGAAAAGCTGTGTTTAAAAGCAACTTCAACATGATTTACTTCCTTGTTCGCCTTATAAGGAAGGCAGGTGTACAATCACCAAGAAGGTGGGGAAATTCATTCAGTGGAAATTCTGGTGTAAGTTCTATGAGTCTCTCTGCATCCTAGAGAAAGTTATTATCTTTAGTGAAATATTGATCAATGAAATGTCAAAACAGCAATTGAAATAGTCATTTCTAAAATAATTTTAACTTAATGTAAAGAATAAAGATATTAAATAAAGCATATAGCCTACATGTGGGGAAAGTAAAAAATGAGCTTAATGAAAATAACTGAGATTTTTGTATTTCATTGCTAAATCCTTTTCAAAAAATTGAAATGAACCCTGAAAAAGAAAAATTATTATTTTACAGTAAATGAGAAGGCAGGCTAGGGAAAGCAAAGCACTGTTTCCTTATTTTTCAAATTAGATGGCATATATTTTTCCATAAGTACGAAATTCCTATTTTAAAATGATATTGGAAATAATCATAATATACAAAAATCAAAGGAGATCAAAATAAGAATGTGTCAAAAGACATTGATGACAACAATGATGAAAACAGAAATGATGGTGCCCAAGATTCTGAATCCCTCAGGCTAGGGACCAAGTTCTCTTCACAATGTGCTGTTCCAACTTCTGGCTCATGATTTGGCACATAGGAGATATTTATTTGTTGAGTGAAAGAGTGACAATTTAAAATATATATGATCTATGGCTAAATCCATAAGGTTGTTTGTATTTTCCCCCCAATGTGTTCTTCAGGAGGGTGTTTTGGGATTCGTAGAGTCTGTGAACAGATAAGAATCAAATTCTCACTTCGTCACTCTTGAAACTGCTGACCTTAGAGAGACTTTTCTGTGGCCGGGCTTATGTCTGAGGAGATAATCTTTTCAAGGAGCATTACTAGGTAAGCATGTGAAACCTGTAAACAGAGGGAAACGGACTATGGTCAACAATAATTTAATTGTACATTTAAAAATAACTAAAAGACTATGAATGGGTTGTTTGTAACACAAAGGAGAAATGCTTGAGGGGATGGATACTCCACTTTCCCTGAGGTGCTTATTACACTTTGCGTGCCTGTACCAAAACATCTCAGGTACCCCATAAATATCTATATACCCACAAAAATAAAAATTAAAATAAAATAATTTTTAAAATAAAATAAACCAAAGAAAGAGAGAAACTAATTATAGACTACCTAGGCTTTTCTCAGAAGCCTATGTTATGTTCAATTTTGAACTCCATCATATCCAAGAAGCTGGAAAAACATGGCAAGAATTCTGCAGTAACAATCCAGAATTATTGAATAATTGGAAGATGTGCATTTTGGGAGAAAATTTATATAAAATTAGTTGATTTATCTTGAAGAAGAAAGATCGAGCCACAAATTGTTTGTGTCTCTGTTATTGTCATTTTAAAAATCCAGTCTTAACTATTATTCATTCATTATCCATTCATTCAACAAGTACTTCTTGGACATTTACTTTGTGTCCAATATTATTTTTGAAGCAGAGGCTACATCAGTGGACACAACCAAGTTTTTGGATCCAGGCAGCATATATTCTCGGCTGGAGGGCAGCGCGGGGGATAGACTCCTAAAATCAGGCAGTGCCCAGGGCTATGAATCAGAGTAAGTCCGGGTAAAAGGAAAGAGGGGCGAGGGAGTGTGCGATTTTCTTTAGAATAGTCAGGGAGGGTTTCCCTGACCAACTGGCATCTGAGAGAGCCCTAGATGACTTTGGCAACACAGCTAAGTACGAAGGCCTGAGACAGCCCAATGGAAGGTGTTTTCAAGGGCAAGGGGAATACAAGAAGGGAGAGAGAGGGTGATCAGATTTGGGGGCAGAGGTCAGATCATATGTAGTCTTTAGCTTGAATTTTATTCTATGCCTTGTGTATCATTGGAAGGTTGAAAGCAGAGAAATAATATTATTTAATTTACATTTTAGAAGAACCACACTGGCTGCTGAGGAAGTTAGAATGTATGGGGCAAGATTGGAAGGTGAATGGGGCAAGACAGGAACACATGTCTCTGTCAAGAACAGACACAATTGTGGCTGGGACTAGGATGCTGGTGGTGCAGGAGGAGAAGGGTGATCAGATTCAAGATCTATTTCGAAACTGGACTGTGCTGATAGATTGGATGTGAATATGAAAGAAAGAGGTTTCTAGCTGGCACAGATATATTTTACTGCCTGAGTGATACATTTTACTGAGAGGGGTTACATTGAGGAACAATCAGGTTTCAGGTGGAGGATGAGGATCAAGAATACGGTAAGTTTGAGATGGCTAGAAGATAACCAAGTTAAGATGCCACATAGGCAGTTTGATATCTAGGTCTGGAAATGGGGGCAATGTCAAAGTGCAAATTGTAAATTGGGATTATCAGCACGGATTTAAAGATATGAGGCTGATGGTGTTCAGAGATATGTGGCTGAATGAGATCCCCCCAGGAAGTGAATGTATGCAGGGAAGAGCTCTGAGGACGGAGCCCTGGGGCCTCTAGATAGCTAGAGATCAAGAGGAGAAGGATTTAGTAAACGAAGCTTCTATCTAAAGAACACTCCATCTTGCTAAAGAGGAACCTGTCTTTGTTGGAAGACAAATTCAAGTGTTTCTCACATTTCTGCACATCTTACAAGCAGAGGCCCTGGCTGCCTTTTTTCTAGACTATCTTTTCCAGGATGTTTATAAAGTGAACAGCCTTTGAAAATAGAGATAGTGTCCCTCTTTAGGGAAAAGGAAAAATTAGAAACAGTGTCAACCTCCAGAACAAAGAGTAGGCCTGTTTTACTGCCCATTATAAAAGGTTCAGCTTCCCTAAACTCAAAGTTCTTCTCTTATAACACATCTTACTACATGTGCAGGTGTCACCTCTTTCTTTTGTGCCATCTTGTGGGAAATGGTATTGGGGAACTGGTGAAAGAATGTGCTGGCACTCTGACCACTGCAATTGCTGTGAATTAAAAAGTTCTTTTTCTGTGACCCAGGCATCACATGTCTCCATCAGTACCCACGAATCCATGACAAGCTAACTTGTCAGCTTGCAAGTCAGGTAAAAGCTCAGGCCCTTCATAGTTCTTGTCAGTTTCCTACTCAAAATCCACCTCTGTCTGGAGACTGAATGCGCAACGTTCAAACCTCACTTTGGAAGAAAAGATTTTACATCCCACAAGACTGCCTTGGACTGACAAGTGCTGCCCTGGGCTCCAGAGGTTTCCCCAGGTCCTGAGCTGTCTGTCTGCTCACAGACCTTCCTGGCAGCCAAGAGCAGGCACTCTAGAGGAGCTGGATCGGGATGGCTGCCCAGCTCTGGATATGCCACTCCCTGGAAACTCTCCATGGTTCTAGCTGCCACCAACAATCTCTCCTTCCTGGGAACACAGTTAGACTACTTCTCCTGGCCTGTTTTGCAGCTAAGAAAATCCCAACCACCAGCATCTGCCAACAGAATGTGAGTGGAAGTGGTACATACCCCTTCTAGACCATCCTCATGTCCCTCTGACAACCAGATGCAGGTAGCAACAAGGTCCTAGGAGAACTCCAAAACCACAATTTGACCATGTATTTAAATGGACTTGTGCCATTCCACATAAAGACTTCCATATCAGTCCTAGAATCATAATCACACTGATTTATTTATTCTCTGTCCCCCATGACTGCCCCTCCAATGCACACCCTCCCTAATTTTCAAGCCTTCGCACAAACCATTTGCTCTTCCTGCATGCCTTGGGTTCCCTCTCATGCCTCTCACTTGGCTAATTCAGCCTGCCCTCCAGGTCGCAGTGTAAACATTAGTGTCTGCAGGAAACACTTTTTGGTTTCTCTAGGCCTCTCTTCCTGTGGACATTCCCCAAGATAGCCCTTTTTGCTCTGCTTGTAATTGTCAAAATACTTGCCTTTACTCAACAAATATTTATTCAATTCTTGCTATGTACCAGACAGCAACTGTGTCTCAGTAATCTTTCTATTTCCAGCAAGTAACACAATGCCTGGCACTTTTTAAGTAGTCAATTAATGTTTATATTGAGAATATGCGTGAATTTTAAGTCTTCATTGTCTAGTATTTCACCAGTTACAAAGCAGGTACTTCATGGATATTGAGTAAATAGATAAGTAAATGAATGAATGGTTTAGGAAGGTAAATAATACAATCAGGAAAGGGAAAATGTGTTCCCTGCTTGGGTTGTGCCGAAAACTGAGAAAAAGCTTAAAATGCAGCGTGAAGAAAAGGCAGGGGGGAATTTGAGACAATATAAAGTAGAATAATGTTATGAAAGAATATCTATCCACTCTGTTTGCACCTTGGGACTGCTGGCTAATTTGTACCAAGGGGCAAGACACTGGGGAGACATAGCCTTGCTTCCTGAGTGGGGTGCCTGCTGTCCTCTTTTGGAAAGTACCACATCCGCACTGCTGTGGAGGGTGGCGGCCCTGCCTGTCCGGTGAGCTGTCAATTCATGAGATGCCAGCATCCTGTAAAGTCCCCCAAATGAAAACTGTGTCCCCTTAGCCATGCCAACTGGATTACTTACCTCTGTTTCTGTGTATGTAGAATCTGAAATGGGAAATAGAAATGGAAAATCAGGAGTTTGATAATGGGAGGTGAGGCTGGCAGGATGTATGGAGAGAGTGCATAAAGTTGGAGGGAACCAGGTGCTTCTGGAGTCAATGTTAGGAGGACTCGGCAGCTACATAGAGGCAGAAGCCCGAGGCAGAATCCCAAGGCAGAAGAAAGCTACATGGGGTGGGAGATGAGAGGACCAATATGCAATCAGCAAAGAATGGCCCTCAGCCACACAAACTGAAAAGTGCTAGAGTCAGATCTACAAACTCACTCTGCCGGGGGGAAGGAGCACGGTCCAGGCCTACAGCTGCCATGGATCCCAAATGCCCATCCAGCTTGGATCTCTCAGAGGCCTCACTCTTAATTTTCCCCAGGATCCCGTCCCTTTTAAAGTAATGTGTATTCTTACAGCAAATTCCCATTACTTGTGGGTGG